TTACATTTTAAATATAACAGTTTATGGAAAAAGAAAAAACTTCTGTAGTGTCAAGGTACAAGAAGAGCTCTGCAGTGACAAATTATATTCACATTTGTATCCTGTTTTGAAAAAACCCAACAGAAAAAAATCATTACCAGGAAAAGGTCTCTTCAGAACTCAACAAAAGTGAGCGACACAGTTGCCAGTAAGTGTTTAATGTGTCTCCTCTGTAAGCYAATATTCATCACACCCAGCATATCACCGCCCAGTAGTAAAACCCAGTGGACCTTGTCCTGAGCTCATTTCTTASTAAATCCAAAACATGATTATACAAATATCAAAAGAGAAAAATGCGATAACGTTAAGCCTAAACAGTGTTTTCTGTGAGAACACGAAGCCTCAAACACCAACATGAGAAGGGACAGCTGAGGAGAGCAAGCCTGCAGATGTAGGACACCAGCTGTGAACAGCAGCAGAAACAGCCACCGGTCTGAGGGGATTTTCAGAAGATTGAACTGCACCATTTATCTTGAGAAAATGTGCAAAGTTTCTCACCCCCATGCCCCAGCCCACGGGTACTGCCCGGGCTGCAAGTGTGACTCCAACTCACCCGACCACAGCCAGAGAGACCTTAAAACCACAATWTCTCAACTCCACACTTAAAGCCCACTTAGCTGACATTTAAGCATAGAAAKAACCATATTCATAGGGACACAGGTAAAATTACTCACCCACATGCCTACAGAGTCAGGCCAGACAGAAACAGCCCCAGATCACAGGAGCTGGTGTTCAGGGCCTCTGCTTTGGAGATAACTTCTATTTCAAAGCTTTATAGAAGACTCCTTTGAAATCTTTGACCCTAATTATCCAAGTCACAGCTTCAGTCTAAGTCCTCCTTGCAAAGGCCGTTTTTCCAATTGCTTCCCTTCTGCATTAATGAGTTCTTTTTCCCACAATAAGCTACAACAGTTTGAGGTTTTGTTTTTGTTTTTATTTTTATTCCTCTCCTCCCTCCTCCTCTCCCATTCCAGCACTGGAATCAAAATAACTTGAGATGGAAAACGTGTGACCTCCCAAGCCTTTATTTACAGTATCACAAACCACAAGGGAAGGTTGTGTCCAAGTTTTCCAGCTGGAATGGGAACAGCAGGGAAATAACGTGCCCTCATTTTTGCAGCTGTGATATTTAACACATCACAGGGKAGAAGGGTGGGAAGGAGGCAGAAGAATTAGAAGGCAGTAATGATGCCATGAAGAGTCTCAGCCACACAGGAAGGTTCACATGATGACATCCTTTCTCCTCAGAAATAAACAGAACTTTGCGCATGCAAATGTAACTGCAAAACCAGTCTGACACACATTTAATGGGGTTACTTCTTCATTTTTACATTAAACCAGACTGTAAAAGACAAACTTTGTGGACTCCACCTGAGTTTGTATCAGTGCTGTAATGATCTCTCTTCATGCCACCATTCCCCAAAATTACCACAACAAAGATTGACAAAAAATAGAAGCCTAGTAGCAATAGAATCTTCCTCAGATATTTAACCAGCACAGAAAAACAAACACAAATGAAGGAGGTTTAGATCTATAGAAAGTTACTTGCAGCAGGAAACTGCCAGTTAGTCTGTGGTTACAACCACAGCAGCGTCACAGCTCTTTCCCCCCAGTTAAAGACGTATGTCCAAACAGTTCCTCGTGTCTTGTGTTTCTATTGCAAAAGGAGGAAAACCACCAAAAGAAAACCTCACCCGTTTCCATGAGAAATTTCCTAGCTCCTGATTATACAGGAGATTCTAGATCCCTTCTTTTTGAAGAGGGATCATTCTGTACCTTTCCAAACAATTGTGTTTTGTCTGTCAGGTCTAACCAGGTTTATCCGTAACCATCTCCCACCTTTGCACGATCCCATTCCCCTTTCCTCACCTGTCAGCAGTTCCCCCTTCTCCCTGCCTGGCACAGTAACAAGTGCCACACTAACCCACAACCTTTACACACTGAGACAGGGGAATGTCACAATTGTGCTGCTCCATTTCGCTGCCAAACAGGGTTCCTCTCCTTGCCAGTACACAAGCAGCCATCCCCCAGCTACATGGAGTGTTATCTCCTTGATCTAACTCTTCACAGTGAGTTTTTCAATCTAGCTGATAAAGGATCCAACATGAAGACAGATTTCTCTGCATTTAGCTGTTTTCCACAAACTCACCCCTTACAAGGGGTTTGATTCTCACGTTATGGGTCCCACACTAAGTCCCCTGGTAAGTACAAGGTGCAGAAAAGTAAGATTTAGGCCCAACTGGTATCCATACAAAAGGACATAAGACTCTGGAAGGAGAAAAGCTGGTCACATTACATAGCAAGGGGTGGAAAATCACAGCCCAGCATGGCACAGGCGCAGGGACAGGTGCTGCAGGCAAGGCAGGGAGTGTTGGAAGGACATTAGAACGAGTCAGCTGCAAAGCAAAGCTGAGCTTCCTTTTGACAGGACACAACACATTCCTTCAGTGACGTTACAAATTGCTTAGATGGGACGTCACTCCCCCTGTCTCACATCTTCTCAGGCACCCTTGGATTCCCCCTCATCTGCCTTCCCTTCTTATCCTCCTCTGCCTCTTCTTACAAACAGAAACACTCATCCCATCAAGACTTCTGCAGCTGCTGGAGCAGTGGAAGCACAGAGAGGCCCTGGAGAGCTGGAAGTGAGGATGCTGAGGGACAGAGCAGCAGGTCCCTCCCCATTGYACATCAACATCCTCCATCTCCCCATCCCCTCATGGCTCCCCCAGCACCGGCACACACGGCTCACGTCCGCACACGCGTCCCCTGGGYTCTGCTCACAGCAGGGATTGAGGACACGTTCCTAGATTTTGAAATAGTTCTATGCAAAACACTCCCAAGATGACTTGCAGAGGAGCACTCTCCCGACATTTTCATTCTGTCCAGCAATTTGGATTCAAAGCCTCYAGGTTTGGAAAAACAAAGGGCTGCAAAGCAATGCTGGCAGAAGAGTGGGGGAAATTATCCAGTGCCTACAGCTTTTTCCTGGACATGGCGAATTCAGCTCTCTGTCTTCATGAACACTGCATTCCCTGACAAGGTTTAAAACCCATTTCTCTCCTTGCATTCCCTACCTGCCAACTCACAGACGTTACTCGCTCTCCGGTGACGCAAGAGCAGGGATTCATTTTCCTGTGAACGCTGTTCTGGAGGCAATTTCCCTCACCTGCCCAGAGAATTAATGACCACTCGGGCACCTCATCAGCCCTGTAAAATCCTTCAGGCAAGTGAAATGAGGGAAGCTTCAGCCTTGGGGCAAAGCAAACCCTAAGCTCTGCCAAGGATTGCATTTCTTCTGTGCTGTTACTGCTAATTCAGAGAAAAACGCTCCCTGCTACAACAGTCTACAGGGGAGTGTGTGACCTAAAACAGGAGGCAAAGCTCTCAGGATACAGATGTTCCCTCTCAGCACAGCAGCACAAACTCATATGGCAATTAATGCTTCTATGAGCATAAACTCTTCTGTTAAAGCTGCTGCTGGCAGCTTTTGATCCCAGAGAGACCTGGCCACAGCTCCTTCAGAGCTGCAGTGGGCAGGCAGGAGCTGTCTCTGGAGGAAATCAGGTATTCCACAGAGGGAGAGGACACAGCACTGGGAACAGCTTACCCAGCCTGGCTCTGCTAATCCCAGAGAGAGGGAATTCAGGAAGGGAATTGATGTGAAGAACTGCAATGAACTCACTGGGAGCCAATATCCCGACAGGAGACAATTAAGGATTGAAATCACCCCTAGTTTTGAACAATTTTTGAACAATTTTTGATAAAGATATTGCATTTTAATACAGAGCTGGTGTCACTGCAGTCTCAGTGTAACTTCTGGGACCCCAAGGTATAAACCCAAAGAGACTGAAAACATATTTCAGTCTGGTAAGTGAACAGTCTCAGATCCAAACTCATTTATTCTTTCTCTTCCTCCCAATAATCCGTTGTTCTTGAAGCAAAACCTGACAATTGTTGAGTTTAAGCATCCAGCAGCAAAAATGAAAAGTTTCTATACCACAGTATCACCCCAAAGAAACGTTTGGCAGAGTTAAAAAGACCCTTTCTGATGAAGGAAAAAAACATTTAAGTGCTGAGGAACGTACTGGAGGAAAAGAAGATGCAGAGCTCTGCAGTCAGGCTAAAGGCTGACACCCTGTCTAGCAAAAAACTCCAGCCACTAATTTTGTAGTGAGAGCTCCCACTATGAGATACTTTTCTAGAATTCACACAAAAGGTTTGGATAGAATGGGACACACACACTGAACCCCCGTGCAACACTCCAAAGGTTACAGCAGAAGGGAGCAGCAAGTACATACATTCATCAAAAACATAATCTCTTCACTTTTACTTGTTAAAAACCACCAGAGGTAACTGCTTCCCCTTCCACACAGTTTATTGGGAAGTTCTGCATCTCAATCCTATTAGCCACGTAAAACAAATTTAAARTTCAGAGGACAAAAAAAGGAAGATACTACAATTTGATGGTTGTAAATGAGGCTGCACAACTCTTTACTTCAATACAAATAAAATCAACAAGGTTAAGGATTTTTTTGAGGAAAAATTAAAAATTATGTTAATTGCACATCCTGTGCTGCCATTCTCCTTTTTAATTTATTTATTTGAAAGATTTTAAATAAACGAGGATGCTGACAAAGCAGAAAAAGGCAGGGAATGTGAGCTTTCTTTAAAAAGAGGTTTATTACCAATGCACACATCTATGCAATTTAAACCAACCATGTTCTGTGACTGCCAAGCCCTTCTCAYAGAGCTCCTGCAGCCATTCTCCAGACTCCATTTTATCACGTTTTCCCCAACCATTTATTCAAGTGGAACCCAAGCTAAGGTTAATCCCCTCTCCCCAGCAGCGAGTTAGCATCCCTCCAATTAATTACCATTCTCCCTAGTAACATCTAAATGGTTTTTTCTAACCCAGAAGAAAAAGAACAGCCATCCAGCATAAATGTCAGAACCTACCTTCTGCAAAAAATCTCTCTAGATGCTTCTGAATGCAGGAGGGAGCAAAGACAGCATTGCTGAAAAAGGATGTCACTGTTGGTCCACATGTGTCAACATCCTAGAAAAGACAGAACACAGTTGCTGAACTGCCATGCCCATGGGAAATCAAGAACAAGAATAAAGCTGCATTATTTTCCCAGTTATACCATGCTAATGGCTCCTATGCAAACAACATAAAGCTACAACATTTTATAATTGCACATCAGAGTTTCTCTGCAGACATCCCTCCGGTATGTCAGAAATTCAATACGTGATAGTAGGCGGCAATGAGCACCTCAGGGATTTAAAGTGTGTTCCAAGCCATGAGTCATCGTCATCTCTAACTCATGGAAATTAAGAAGGAAAAAAAAGAGAGAATCAAAAACACACGCGTTGCACTGACCACTCTCACGTGCTCCCTCTGTACAACACTTCCCCTTAAAGCATTTCCCTTCTGAACTGGAAGCTCAGTGACTTCCACAGAGGAGACACCACAGACAAACCCAGCACATCACAGAGCTGTTCCAGAGAGCCCCCAGAGCCTGGGCACGATCCCATGTTGGAGTGTGGAAGCAGGGCCAGAGCTGCCCTTGTATCCCCTCAAATTCTTCCACACCTGCAGGAATGAGGAGACAGCAGCTCCCACAGGGAACAGAGACCAGGCTGGTGAACCAGCAGCACCCCAGGGCAAACCCAGCTCAGGAAAGCCCAGGCAGCCCCTTTACACTCCTATTCCAGCCACCTGCTCTGCCCCAAGGCTGATTTTTGTCAGGAGGGCTGAGGGCCAGAAGGAACCTGTAACGCTGCCTGTGGAGTGGGGTTTGTGCTTTCCTCAGCATTCCAAACAGTCCCATTGCCTTCCCAAGAGATTCCTTCAGGCAGAGTCTCATCTTTACCCCCACCACTGCAAACTGCTTTTAATGCTGGTTTTAAAGCAGCTGGGTTGCACTTAAGGGCACACACGTGTATCCCAAATYCCATCTCTACTGTTGATCTCCCCAAGCATATCCAGGTTCCTTCAGGTCTTTTTTAATATCTTGATTTATCCTTGTAACAGCAGCCAGAACAGAGCCAGGACTCTCACAGSACTGGTCTAGCAGGGAAGGTTGGGTTACATCCCACAAGTCACCCAAGGATCCCCAAAACCCACATGCTAACGTTAAAATTGCCTCAATCTCACTGAACTTCCCATCAGCAGAAATATCCCTTTCCCCTTCAGGTCAGGRAGGGCACAGTTGTCCTTCCCAGCAGCAGGAGCTGTGTTTTGCACCGGAACACACAAATCTGGCTCCACAACCAGACAAATAAAAACACATCCCCTTGACTGGGACTTGGATCCAAGCCTTAAGCCCAGCACCCACTATCAAAGTGTTATACAAAAAATAAACAAAACAGCAATACACTCTGTTCCTTCCACTAAAGAACCTGAAATGCTTGGAAAAACTATCAATACCTTTAGCTGCAAACACTAATAGATAAATTTATGTCTTGCCAACAGCTCAAAAAAWCCAGTAACTGATCTTTACTGTTGTAATTTCTTGCACAGCAATTTAAAAAAATATAATAGTGCTTGCACAGGTCAGACTCATCCTGGAGGAAGAGCAAATGCGAGTAACGTTTCAGGACYATTAATCTCAGAAATCTCACCGAGAGCAAGCAGCCAGACAGCTTAAAAATATATTTAGTCCACAAATGCTTATTAACGTCATTTGCTGATTCACAGCTGAGCCAGGAACATAGAGCCCAAATGCCACTTCTGCTTTCCCACGCTGGGTAATTAATAATAATAATAATAATAATAATAATAATAATAATAATAATAATGAGGCCCAACACTTTCAACTATTAAGGTGCTTAACCTATCTCAAAACCTTCCATGATGTAACTTTTATATTGGATCTATAAGAACTGGAAACCACAGGTCCAGTCTGTGGTCCTGTGGTTCAGGATCCGATCAGAGTTTATCTGAAACTGAAACTTAGTTTTCTTTTCTTTCATTGACTATCCATCTTGCTGCCAACATTAATACGTCAAGACCACAAGACAAATAAAATAAATTCTTCAGGCTCACAACAAAATTCAAACTGAAAATCACCACTACTTTTAAAATTACATCTTCTTTATAAACGGAGGAAAAAATATTTGATRATTTGATACCTGTGTCAATATTTTGTGTGTGCACTTTGGGGCAGAATTAACCCACTAAACTCTTAAAGAATGCTTTAAGTAAAAATGGTTTTCATAAAAAGAAACGTAAATGTTCCTTCCCCTACTTCAATATTCAAAACGATGATTTAAAACCCAAAGGGCGCTCTCTCTAAAGCAACTATTCAAATCTGTATGATGGAAATACATTTAAATATAACATTCTAATCTTGCTTTGCCTTTGAATTTTTAAATGCTTTTTCATGAAAGCAAGCATCTCATTAGTCCTTTTAGCCATTCTACCATTRTGATTTGCAAGTAAACAAGAATCCTCATATTACCTTTCTCYTTTAAAAGGAWTYGTTAYAGCTATGTAGTTTTTAACTCAGTCYACATCCAGTCTGATTAAGCCTTAGCAGGGCCTGGACACAAAAGTTCAGAGGTTTCAGTGTTTGGCTGAGGCCAACCTCAGGGCCAGCACAGTACCTGCAAAAACAGCCACAAAGGTTCCTCAAGTAAAGAAAAATCAACCTCCCYACCTGCTTTATCCTTTTTTTCTTCCAGGGTTAGGTTTTTTCCCTGTGTTGTAGATTAGGGAAGGATGAAAAAAGTTCTTATTTTCAGTAACAGTAAGTCTGTAGCAAWTCTCCTAAATAGAAAAACTGAGTTCTCTGCACACGTGTTAATGGTACTGCAATCAAAAGTGATTAAGAGCAAGAACATTTCTGTACAAGAGAAACTSAAAGTATTGCCTCTGGGAAAACAGAAACACTGGCATTTTCTCTGCAGCAAACACTAAAAGTAATAGATAATTAATGTAGCCTAGGACATTATGACATTTATAAAACTTGTTTTCTGGAATAATCATAAACAATTCACCTTCACTGTATTCCCAAGTCATCACTTTCTAAAGTCATTGCAGTTTGCAGARGCCTTGCTGATGCTATTCTTAATTTACTTATTTTTAGGTGTGAGAACAGATTACCAAGGCAAAATTTAAATTTAAAAATCGTCAGGTTTTCAGCCTCTTTTATAATCATTAACCCTGTCTGCATTTCAGAAACATTTTGTGCTAAGTGGAAATCAACTGCACAATTAAAAGTCCTTCTGCTTTAAAATTAAACTCCTGAAGTGTGGGAGGATTCAGTATCGTTAAACACAGGGCACATTCGTCCAAACCACCAGGAAAAAGCAACTCAACAAAAACACAGAAATGTGAGTTAATGCAAGAGCTCCCAAAAGGCTACAACAACATTTTTATTATGGGTGATTTGCAAAGAGAAACGTTACAAAGTCCCTCCCTTTCTCGAAAGGCTCTCAGGGAAGAATCTCCCCAGGAAAGCCTCTGGGTATTGGAGCAGCTCGGAACCGAATCAAAAACCACGTAAGGTTCTGGAGCAGCACCACAGCTCAGCAGTACACGAGGACAGAAAAGCAGACCACAGCTATTAACAGGCAAATTCACATGTAAACACCTTTTGCAAAGAGGCAGAGGTGCCACACAGCTCATTTTTAGCACCAATGTTGAAAACACCACACTGCACTAACAGAGCTGGCATTTACCTTTCCATGGAGGATGATTAATTAATTATAAGATCCTTTTTGCTGGCTTCTGAAGGCTTCTCTGCTGAACCGATGTGCTGCACTTCACTTTTCAGTCCGTCTAAGAGGCACCATAACAGCCACCACTAAATCACTTTATATTGGGACCAGCTGAGCTCATCCAATTGCCTGAACAGACACACCTGGTGACAACCCCAGACCACAGCCCTGCAACCTCGGGAACCACAGCCCTGCCAAGCACAGGCAATAAAAAGGCTTCTACAAARTCAGAGGCACTGACAGCACCGTCCTGCAAGGAGAAATGAACAACAAAACTCTTCCCCATGACCACCACAGCCCATCTAGCTCAGCCTCCAATATKCATGAATAAATTCTAAGCCCTTCCAAGTGTAAGCTGTGGTCAAACACCACATGCCCATGGTTTGGGAGCATCAGTTTCAGACCACAGATAGTCTCCAGAGCCCTTTATCCTCAGAAAAGGTGGTTTCTGTTCTCCTGTCAGCCACCCTAAAGCACTAAGGGGATATAAGTGAGCAACTAAAAATCAACAAACTACAGAGAAACAAATTCAGAATCCTGAAGAACTCTAATATGAGGAACAGGCTCCAGGACATGCCAGGAAATTAATCAACATGCAAGATAAATGCAGCAGTTAACTGGAAAATACGAGCAGCTTGGAAAGGCACCGAGACCATTTTTCCCTCTCTGATGTTTGYAGCATCTGGACCCTCCAAGTGCCCTGGGGTTACATTCCCAAAGGAGCACAAGGTCCTGGCCTCACTGTAAGCAGCCAGACCCAAGGGAAAGGCAGGGAAAACAAACAGAGAAATGCTTCCAGAAGCTGCCTGGGCTCTGGACCCTGCTGTAGCTATAATGAGCTTGTCATTTGCAAAGCCCTCTGCCTCCTTCCTTAGAAGTCATTAATCCTTTCCTAAAAGTTTTTATTCCCTTATATGAAATGCAAAGCATTACAACCAATTGCTCTGACTAACTGAAAGAAAAAAACCTTTAAAAAAAAACCCAGACCCTACACTCTCTATGCATCCTTACAATATTGTTAGGCACCTCACACCACTCTGTGTAAAAGAGGAAGAGTCACATTTAATAATTAAAGGTGGTAGCCACACACATCACCTTCCCAAACCAGGGTGACCTCCTGCCTCCAGGGTGGGATCCCAGGAACCACCAGCAGCAGAATCCCCTGCTGGGATTGCTTTGGTGTGGGCAGATCTTAAAAAGAGGCTTTGGAAACAGTCTATTTAATCAAGCTTCAGACTCCCCTCTGTGAGCAGTAAAACCTACGAGATTTTTTTTTTTTTCCAGGAGCACAAAAGTGGAGAAGGAAAAAAAAAAACCCAAAAACAAAAGAAA